TTGAAGAATTCATGGTCACAACATCACTATTGCCTTTATAGTGTGTAGATGATTTAGACGTGCCTGAAAACAATAATTAAAATTATATTTAAAGGGCAAAATCTACAAAGTATATACATTTAAATTTGATTTTACCAGGTTGATATTTGTATGGTGATTCATCAAAAACATTTATTTTACCAATTGAAGAATTCATGATCACAACATCACTATTGCCTTTACAGTGTGTAGATGATTTAGACGTGCCTGAAAACAATAATTAAAATTATATTTAAAGGGCAAAATCTACAAAGTATATACATTTAAATTTGATTTTACCAGGTTGATATTTGTATGGTGATTCATCAAAAACATTTATTTTACCAATTGAAGAATTCATGGTTACATCACTATTTTCTGTATGTCTGGATGATTTAGATGTACCTGAATACAATTAATAATATTAAAAAGTTGTTGATTTAAATATATATAATATATTTTACCATGATTTTCTTTATATATATCATTCTTATAAGTGTTTTTGACTTCAGAATAAAATGTTGATTGAGGTTGAGGTAGTGAGGTTGTTTTTTTTTGTTTCAACGTTTTGAATTTATTATTACCCTGAGGTTGTGAGTTAACATTTGATGCTTTGTTTGAATTATATGTTTTGAATTTTAAAGATCTCTGAACTAGAATATTATAAGTTAATCAAACATTTATATTTTATTCTGACTTTAATCTTATTGTTTCAATTATTAATAAATTTACCTTGTGCTTTAAATGGATGTTCTGGTAATGGAGGAATTTTTGATAAAATTTTTTTTACATTTTTTTCTTTAGTTGGTGATCTAAATTTATGTCTTTTGGCAGCTAGCTTTCTTCTTTTTATTTTAGAAAGTGCAGCATCATGTTCTGATTCAATGTCTTCTGTTTCTGAGAGTTCAACGGCAATTTTTAACTTTTGTTTTGCTCTTATGAAATCATCTAATACATATAGGTAGTCATTTAAAAAGTTACAGCTTTTAAAATCAAAAATATTTATTATTTGTACCTGAAGAGGCCCATATTTTACTAATTTTATATGTTTTCCAATCTGTACTGTATGGTATACATTGTATTACCATTTTGTCATAACACTTAGGATTAATATGTTGGTTGTATGGATAATATGAATATGACTGATCTGCTTTAATCCAATTCCGTGGAACCAATTGTATACTGCGATCATCAAATTCAATAACAACAAACTTTCTGAAAATAACAGTAATATTACAATTAATCAACTTTGAAATTAAATTGATTATTTGAGTCACCAATACTCACTTATTATATTGTTTATTTTTATTTACAAAATGAAATTAAATGTACATAATATATAGGTAATGGGTTGAATAGTGATATAAGTATAACTAAAGATATGGTCTCTCTTCTTGATCAATATGTAAAAGTGGCATAGCAGCAAACATTAAATGATCATAAGAAATTGGAAAAAGAAAATATTTTGCAATAATAAATTTAACAGGCCAACTCAACTGTTGTGAAAGTTTTGATACTTCATAAATTCCTAAGTTTGAAGATGAAGACGGTAAAGTATATAAAGGTTTTATATTCAAGAATTCTTTTCCAATTATAATATTATCTTGAAATTTTTCATTGTAACAAAAATTATCAATAATAACAATTTTCCCATTTCTTAATTCACAACAATTATTAGCTTTACTATTAATATCAAATGTCATGCCTTCGAGTTTTAACACTGAGTATTGTATTGTGCAACCATTTATTATTGGACCACTTGCATGTTTATTTTTCAAACTTATTTTAACTTGAATGTTTTTATTATGCTGAGACTTGATTCCATAAATATCAATTTCTTGTAATCTTTTGGCGATTTGTTGTAAAGGTTTATCATCTTTTTTAATCAGAACTTTAAGTTTTTGCATAAAATTTTCAAATCGAAAAGAACTAAATGTGTCTAAAGGTCCAAAATGTCTTACATCGTCTACTAATTGTAAGAGACCGTGAACATTATGAGAAACGTGATGTTTGCCATAAATTAATCTAAAACTTGTAACAAAATGTTTGAGCAAATTTTCTGCATATTCTAAATAGTTTTCTTGAAAGCAAAATTTTTTGGAAATTAATAATGTTATGGCAAAGTGTAGAACAAGAAAGTTGTTATATATGTCTGGGGAAAGAATAGATTTGAATATTACAGGGCCACTATACAATAACAGTTGTCTAAATTCTGTTGCTTTCCATTGCCTAAAAAACATCAATCCTCTTGGTTTTCTTTGAAACTCTATTGGTGTGTAAGGTTTAACCAATTTTTCAAGTTTATCAGAAATTAATTTTACTTTTCTGAATTGTAAACGTACACTTAATCTATCACTACACCATAAATTTAAAAGTTTTTTCATGACACCTAAGCATACTAAATGTAAATAGTCCAGAGGTACGTTGGTAACAAGTCCAATATTTGGAATACATTCTAATGGACATGCATAATTATGATAGTCATTATCTGATTTAAGTACAAATTCTTCATCAGTACGTTTTCGACCAGAGACATGAGAAAAGCAGATTCTTCTTTCAATGTTTTTTCCTTCATCCCAACATTTGGTACAACTTGAATACCCAGTATGGCCTTTAACACCCAATATAAAAGATTTTGCAGGTGCATCTGCACATATTATTTTAATTTTACATGGGTATTTTTTATTATTATATAATAAACCATTGTCTACAATGTCTATTGCTTCTTCAATGAAATCGCTTAAAAATTGTTCACAACTTTCTGGCTTTTTTGAATAACTATGATAAATACCAATTACAAAAACTTCATTGCAGCCTATTATTGAACCAAGGATAGGCCACAACTGACTCCCCGAAGACTTGCTTATAGGTAAACCATCGATGCCAATCATAAGTTCAATTATGGTTGAATTACAAAATATTTTATTTTTATTAATGAAAGATAAAATTCCTCTTTTAAGGCCATAATGCCAATAAAGGCCATGATTAATTTCTTTTATATTAACATTTCTAGGAGTATTTAATAATGTCCTAGAATCTATAGGAAAATCATTGAAACATGTGTGAGTCTTTAATATGGATAGAAGAGTACGTAATGAAGTATGGCTTATCCCATTATTGACTGCCCATTCTGCTAGTTTATTTTTAAATGATATTAAGTCAAATTCAAAATTACTTATATGTTGAACTTCTTGAAATTGTGACACATTAATTGAATTCAGAAAATTAAAACTATGAGAAGGCTGTATAATAGATGAATCAATAATTTGGTTACTAAGTGAACCAACTGCATGTATAGAATTTGATGAGTTGTTAATATTTAATGTATTAGTATTACATTCTACTGCCATTTCATAACTCTTATGTTTTTTTTGGTTTTGGGTTATTGATAGATGTGTATCAGGAAACAACACACTTTTTACAGCTTTGATTTGGCTTTGCACTCTTCGTCGTAACTGTCGAGAAGATATTTGGTTATGAGGATGTAATGTTCTATAGAAAATAAAAACCAAGATAAAAATATGAATAAATTCTGAAAAAAATTAACAGTTTGCCAAACAATATAAATAGAAAATATTGTGAAGATGAAACAATTTACTCAAGTCTGCGATTAATTAGTAAATAAGGGAATGTTCAATTGATAACATTTCAACAATTTCTTGTTGTTTGAGATTTGTTTAACATTACATTTTTCATAACATGACCGAAAAGATAATTTATCAACATATTGATTAGGTATATTTTTTTGTCATGGTTTGCAGCTACTTTGTTAAGTTCCTCAAGTCCTATGAATTAATTTATGAAGTTCGTTTTAAACTTTTAATAAAGTGAATACATAACAGAAGCTTTTAAATCCTCATTCTATTATTATAATTTTATATAATTTTACTATGATAATGTACATATTAATGATAAAAAAAACTCTTGTTGTCCCTTTATATTACTTTAAGCTAAGTATCTTGCCTAAATATTCCACTGCTTTTATGTAACAACAATTATTTCAAACCTACAATATTTAATTAAATGGGAGAGAATATATTATAACTAATGCATAATATAATTTAAAAAAAAAAAATTGTACTTTTATTATTATAACACAAATACTTAACCCACAAGACTTTTAAATTTCTTTTACATACCTATTTCAAAATCTAATGGAATACAAGGATCAATAATTATAATTTGAATTTCAAATTGAGTAAATAAATTACCTATAATAATAATAGACCTATAATAGATACCTAATATATATTATGCAATAAGTAAATTAACTTAATTTAATTATAAGTAGATAATAGATAGCTACATAATACGCACGTAAATACTCAATTTCATAATACAAACCTTAATTCTACAACTTCGGCGTTTTCTTCTTCAGAGTCTGACATACTGAATACCGCTGAATACTAATTGTTAAAGCTATATAAACATAATTATCCTGAAAAGTAAAACAATAATAAATGTATTATAGTTATAACAACAAAAATATTGTAAGAACGTATGTTGCGCCACGGCAAATCTTACGATTTGAGCAGTTGTTTGCCGTGACTCGCATAGGTGATAGGCAAAGGGTGACCAAATAATAAATATGTGTTTTACCTCCTTTACAAGTTATATTATAATATGATGACAGTATATAGATATAAATAGATAGGTAATATTATATTATGGTGGACGTCTCCACAATACTACAAAAAAAATATAATACTAAATATGCCACTGGGACACTCCACTATACAAATAAATAATTACAATAATAATACATGGGGTATCACCAGGGCCATGTACAATGTAAAATAATAATAATGATATAAAATAGTATAGTATAATGATGAACGATACCAAATGAAACCGGATGCTGCCACGACGCAGGGGTTAAGGCACCTTAGACAGCCGATGACGAATTATTTGGCTCGATGATATCTTTGGTAGTTGGTCTGGAGGCGGCCGTTCTTCCACGTGGTATGGTGGTAATCACTATTTTAAGGCCGGCTGGACGATCCCGACCAAAACACGTGGTATGGACTCGGAATACCGTTTATTTCGGCGAGTGTCACAACTTCATCAACCACAAGATCACGTAGGTTTAATTCGTTACTGCTCCGGCTGACATGAGGGTCTGACAGGATGGAGCACGACTGCACGAGACGCGAGAAACAAAAAATTATACACATAAACGCGAGGTGCGTCGTGTATAACGCGTACAAAAACCAAGCGGCAAGTAGGTACGAAGAACGAGAGAGTAGCGAGTACCGAGTACCGACAGAGCCCGCACGCCGGTAAACCACCGGCGACTCGTCGGTTGCGTCCGCGGTCGGTCGCGTTTTCAGCATGACCGCTTGGGGGGAATGTCACTGGGTGGCCAGCCTGGCGTACCATTGTAGCGGGTAAGCTGATCCGCGGCAACAGTATCGGTGTCTGAACAACGTACATAGGTACATAATATGTAATTAGAAAGCCTTAGGTCGCACCCTTGGACATACTTAGCATAGTTGGTCCATTGTATGTATATAGGTACCTAAATCCTAACCAAAATTTACTGCATACTAAGTCAAACCTAACCTAATTCTTAATACATTGCTTAAGTGATTATAGGTAGTTTATAAACATAATATTCTATTAACCAACTGAATATTTCTACCAAAGTAAGAATAATACCAATGTTGCTTTATTTGCCATAATATACATTTCAATAACAGGACATATTTGATAATACTAGGTACCTATTTAATTTTACTTTAAATGTAATATTGTTCTAAAATTGTTAATTAAAAATTACATATTATTATAAAAAAAGGAATAATATTTATCATAATAATCTAACATTTTGAGATTGTAAGACAATAAGCTATTAAAAATATTTATATTTTTGGTTCTAAGATAGGTATAGTATACATGGATATAACTGCTTATTATGTGCTCAAAAATATGGAATGGAATTTAAAAAAATTAAATCATTAAAATATTTATTTTAATATGCCAAATTACCGTGCAAGTTACATAATATTATGCAAGTAATATAAATACAACTACATTACCATACTATATTATATTATATAAAAACAAACTACTTATCTTTATTTGTCCATTTACACCTACTGAGAAATTATAACTACAATAAATATATATATATATTTACAATTTAACCCAAATTACTAGGTAGGTCTTGGGACGATTAAAATACATCCCATCGGGAAGTTCCAAATAGGTATCAATTGAGTACTACACGGGTGGTACCAGGGAGGTCGAAATGCAGCCCATCAGGAAGTTCCAGTTGAGCATCAATTGGGCGCTTTATAGACGGTACCCGGGAAGGTCTGTGCTGTTAGGGTAGTAAACAATTAAATGCGAATTATGTTAAAAAATAATAAATAATATAATATATAAAATAAAGAATGTTTTAACTATTTTGTATTACTGATAAATTATTTAAATAAGCTTTCTTAAGATAATATATTGTGTTTATAAAGACACTGCTATAGTCAATAACTTTTATTTTATTATTATTTTAAGTATAGAAAGGTTTAAACAAATAATGTAATTTTAACTTACTTATGTTAGAACACAATTCTCTAATTTTGTAAAAGTCAAATTAATTTTTGTTTGGCTTATAATTTGTCTCTATCATTTTTCGAGTATTTGCAGTATGTTTTGATGGCCAAGCACATTTTTCATTGTTGATCCAACTCTTTGGGACACATTCTACGGTGTTGTCATCAATAAATCACACAATTGAAAATACTGTTGAGTCCATGTCAACTCTATTAATACAAAATAAATTAACAATAAAATATAAGTACTAATTTTTTTTTCTTTTCATAATAACACTAAAGGTAGGTATTATATAAAATATATACAAGGTTGCAAGTTATAAAATATAATAGTTAGGTAAAATTTATTTTAACATGAGGATATCATTTTTTGATTTCATGTTGCATCATAACATATATTATACAGTAAAGACAGGGTTATTTAACATATAAGGTAGATACAAAAATTTAAGTATTTGACGAATGTAATATAGGAAAAGCAATTTTATAGTTTATTTCATCATTTGTATGAAGCACCATGTATTTTTTTATATCGGCCCTATGGGCACAAATCGCTCGTAGGAGTACGAGTTTGTTATATAGCAATATTATAAGCAGGGGCTTTTCTTATTATTTTTATCATAGTGAATATTACTTACCAGTGTATCACCGACAATATTGTAATAATAGGAAATAGATGTGTAATTTTGAATTTATTATCTTTGTAAACAAATTTGTTACAAATTATTCAGGAAGTATATAAAAAATAAATTTCAAAGTACTTAAACCATCGTCGGTATCGCTATATACTGTTACATGATTGGTATCGTGTTAGCGTTACGCTAACATTATCGTTTTGTCGGTTCTGTGAATTATTTATTGAAAAAAAAAGATAGGTATTATATAAAAATTAAACAAATCACTTTTTTGTAACAAAATCTATTAAAATAAAAATAATTTTAAAAATTTAACTCATCGTTCGAATTTTCCGAGTTTTCTTTCACGGTGTTGCATGTCGGACAAGTAGGAGTAGTATGTTCTTTACATATATACACACAGTGTTGGGTAGTAACGTAACGAAAGTAACGCGTTACTGTAACGCCGTTACTTTGTTTGTAACGCGTTACGTAATTTAATTACAATTATTTTCAAATAACGAAAATGTAATGAAAATTACTTTTGATGAGTAATTTACATAGTATAACGCGTTACAGTTTTAAATTATTTAGTACCTATTGCGAATTTCAAAAAAAAAAAAACTTAAAAATATAATGTCTAATGCGGGTATTATTTATTATACAAGTGGTTAATTATTATACGTTCCTAATGTTCTTATTAACTATTGTCTATTATTAAGCATAAACATTACGTCTGTACATGCACTAAAAATAAATATTGATGGATAACCAATGATAAATCGAATTATTTACATTGCAGTGCGTTATAAATAATTATTATTGCTGTTTGGCATTTTACAAGAAACGGTGAAAATAATAAACTTATCTAATATCTTTATTAGTAATGACTAATGAGTAATGACCGAATATTCATATGTACAATTTATTACTACTATTTTTAATAGTTATAACTTAAAAGTTATAAGTAATTAATATTGTTATGTATGTATTTATGTTATTAACTGTAGGTACATCTTTTTCAAATAATACCATATCTTCTGTAGGAAGTGTATTTCTAGTTCCTTCGCTTTTTAAATGATAATAGCTAAGCAATTAAAAAAAAAATTATAAAAAAAAAAATGTAACGAGAAAGTAACGTAGTTACTTTTCTATTTGAAAAGTAAAGTAATTTCATTACAATTTTATTTGAGTAACGAGTAAAGTAACTTTATTACATTTCTCTCTAAGGAACGAGTAAAGTAACTTTATTACTTTTTAAAAGTAATTTACCCAACACTGTATACACACCACATAACGAACAACTGACCTGTAAAATATAATATAAAAATAATATAATGTATAAATAACCAATAAATATCTTTATAATAGTACCTTTGTAAAGCGATTTTTTCTGATTGGACAAAAATTACATCTGATTCGTTGATCACTTGTCGAAACATCTGGATTCGGACTTTCTTTATTATTTTGTGAAGTACATCCAGTCATTTTTATTATTTGTTGTCGAAGAAGAAATGATAAACATGGCTGTTCAAGACGTTTTAAAATGCAAGGTTTAGTGAGCTCTTGTCCCAAAGTTTTCAAATATTCTCGACGAGTTATCTGTAGCGAGCTGTGACTATTTAGCCATATGGGTTAACACATTTAATGCATACATGAATAGTAATAATATAATAATAATAATATCGAGCGCGTGACCATAAGCGGCGTGCGACAATAGATATATGACTACGTATATGGATAAACCTAAAATAATATGGTTAGATTTGTGCTGTTATTAATTATTGTTGAGTAACACCACAAATGTGCTATATAGATATATGTGGACTTCCGGCGCGTAATTCACAAAAGGCTTAACCGCAAGACCATGTATGGTTTTAGAATAATGGAAGGACATATATGGTCTTAGAAATCTTAGAAAGTATGGAAGTGGCAAGGGACAGAGATCCATCGAGGAGAGCTGATGGACAAGCGTCCATCAGACGAGCAACCAACCTCAACTTCGACAGTCACACCACTAAATACTCATAGTCACAACTCGCTTTTAGTTATTATTTGGACTTAGGATAAATTCCATAAAACTGTTTATAAAATAAATACAATAAATACAATCAAAAGAGGTTATTGTTCTATTATTGCTTCCAAATCAACAAGTAACGCTGTTGGGCACGTTACAAATTGGCGCTGTGGACAGGGAGTCTCAAAAGATACTTAGAAGAAACCCGAAGAACACTTTAAAAATTTTTTCGAAATTTTCGAAAAATTTTTTTGAAAAATTTTCATCTTCTAAATTCGATCAAGGAGGGAAATCCATCACTGGATCACCGTTGGAAGACTGATCACCTGCCAACAACTCCGAGAAGAATCCTGTACAACTACATAACACCCTACTACAATCAACATTACAACCAAACAAATGGAAGCACCCGCAGTACCCGCCGTGTTGTTGTGAGTATTTAGAGTAATTAAATCGTTGTTCGTCTCCTATGGTATATTATATGACCATAGTATATATTATAAAGTGAAAAAATTATTCGTGTTAAATTAAATAAGGGAGTTATCGAGAACTTTGAATTTTTCGTGTTAAATAAAATAAATTGTGAGGAACTTTAAAATTTTTAAATAAATAAAATAAAATTGTTCAACCTTAGATTTAAAATAATAATATAAAATAATAAAATAATATTTAATAAATATAATAAAATAATAATAAAATAAAATAATAATTAAATAATAATTAAATAAACTGAAGTTTGAATTTAAAATAATTTTTTTTTTTTGTCTAATTAAATAATAATAAAAAAATAATAACATATTGTAACTTAAAAAAATCTTAAACACTTTTAATTAAATAATATTTAAATAAAATAATTTAATAGTTGTTTGAAATTTATTTTTTTTTTAAATTAAGTAACATTGAATAGAGTAATAATTTTATTTTACAATAACGTCGCGAGTTAACAAACTTTTTAAATATAATAAATAATAATTTAATTTCGTAGAAATTTTTCAATCATTTAAATAAGTTAAAATAATAATTAAATTCTAAAATAAATTTCAATCATTCGAATAAAATAGAAAATATAATTTAATTTAAAAAATAATTCTACAATCATTAAATAAATAAAATAACAATTTTAGTCACTTGACCACTATTTTAATCATTTA